AATAATGATAATTCAATTGTATTAGCAGGGTGTAATAGTACTATCAAAGTATTTGAATTTAAATAAGAATAATTGAAACTAACTCAACTTCTTAGTGAACATTAAAATTATGTTTTAACTTTAAATTTTATGAAGAAATCGTCTCAATTTATATCTGGGAGTCGTGATAAATAGATGATAATATGGTCTATGAACTCAAATAATTAATGGATCTGTTCATACAAATTGAATGAACATCAAGATTATATTAGATGTTTAATATTGAATAATAATGAAGATCTTATTATATCAGGAAGTAGTGATAAAACTATTAAATTTTGGATAAAGAATAATTAATGGACGTGTTCACAAACTATTACAGATCATACAAATTATGTATATGGATTAAGTTGGAATGAGAAATAGAATAATGTGATATCTTGTGGAGTAGATAAATTAATCTTAATAATAGAGGAGTCATCGTAAAAAAAATGGAATGTAATATAAAAGATAACAGTTGAGCAGTATGGTTTTAGAATATGCTTCATCAATGATTATGTATTCACATTTCAACCTTATAATTAAGAGTATATACATGTTTATGAGATAAATAGTAGTAATTAATAGTATTCAAAGACAAAACAAATTGATGTGAAAAGTGATTCCGATGCTTGTGATTGTTTGTTTCCTTAATAATATCTTAAATCTAAATGCTTACTTGTGAATAAGAATGGAAGGAATGTTAATTTGATAAGGAAAAATTAAAATGGTCATTTTATCACATAATAATCTATTCAATTGGGGCATCGTATTATGTATGGTTAGATGAGTGAAAATGGAGACTATTTGGTTACTTGGGATAATTAATCTAGGGAAATTTAAATTAGGAAATATCATTGATGAAAAATTTTATTTTAATTAATTATTAACTTAAAATTAATTATATAATAATTAAGAGAGTTTAAATGAAACTTGCATAAAAATGGAATCTAGAAGTCTTAAAATGAAGAATAAAGTAAGTGAAAATTTCAAAATATGATTAAATTACAATGCTGATTATATAGACCAATTTAGAAAAAATAGAAACCGATAAATATTGAAATAAAAATATTTCAATTAATCCATTAAAACTTTTTAATATAGATAACAGAGACAAATTATTTTTATAAATATCATAGGAATTGTAATATATGAAATTTTGAACTACATTAAAAAATTAAAATTAGCTGAATCTGAATATTTTTGAATTGCATTAACTCTTAGAAATATTAGAGTTGTGCAATTAGAAACATATTGAGATAAGTTCTGATTGAGAAATTGGAATATAAGGATAAATAATCCTTAATATTTTTCAAATTGCAAAATATTTAAACATTCGCCTAGTGAAGTAAGAAGATTTATCTCACTATTCTCATTCTAATTATTGCAAATTTAATGCTAATTAATTGAATAAAGAATCTAATGTGTTGACATAATTATGCTGATTCTCTAATGACAAAAATTCCAGTTTATGCTCAGCCTTATGCTTCTTATATACTAAATAATCTCACTTATTTCTTATTATCCTCCTCTGCTAAATTTCTCTTTTCTTGTAACAATTATGTAAGGTGAAATTTAATCATATTTCTCCTTTTGTAATCTTTTTATCAACCTATTGAAACAGCTACTAAAAAATTTATTTTTAAACAATCAATTAGTCTCCAAAGTTTATTTAATTAATTATTAGTGATTACGATATTTTGTTGAAAAATGTAGTTGACCGGGCTTAGTAATTAGATTATTACCTTCTTTCAATGATTATTTGTTAAATTAACCATCACAGAAGTTTTTTGAGAGACACATATTGTTACATATTTTTATTATTCAATTGCATTTATTAAATTCTCTTATCCAATATTTGCTAATATTTTTTCATTTTCTTTTAATTGACTTAAACAATTTTCTTTTATAATTTGAATCTTTAAGGTGATTAATTTATTTATCTATTTTATTTTTTTATCAATAATCAGTCTATTAGATTTGTTTTTACTTTGGAGTTTTATATAATTCACAATTTAGAAATAAGAATATATATATCTTTTTTACATTTTGCTTCATTCAAATTCTAATCATTTAAATGTCCAGTTAAAAAGTTCTCCATTATTTGTAAATATTTAATTTTTTAATGGTTATTTCATTCATCAGTAGGATAAATATAAATATTGTAATTATTCCATCTTCTTTGATATAAACCTCAATAGTCTTCAATTCTGTAATTAGTCATCCACTTAAAGTTGTCAAAATAAATGTAGAAAAAGAAGGGTTCTATGAGGATACATTTTTTCAACTACTTTTTTAAAATAATAGTTCTTTTGCCAATTAGGTCATAGTTAGGAGATAAAAAAGAAAGCCTAAACAATCAGCAAAATAAAATGTTTCTCATAATGTTAAACAAGTTTTATTAATCTAATGAATTGTATGCAATATGAACTTTTGGCCCCTGTACCTCCAATAAATCCCCCTTAGTCTAAAGTTGTAAGAATATTCTTATTTATTTTAAGATTGACCATTCTATGTACATAATCAAGTAATTTCGGATCATAATTAGTCTCATGTTTCTATATGAGCTATCCTGGGTACCTGTTTGTTAAGTGTTAAAACTTTGTGCAAAACAAAACTTATTTTCTTTAGCTCTTCAATTTTGATAAGAGACATATCAATTTTGGTTTCAACTTTTCCTCTCCATATTTTATCTAAAGAAATAACATTATTTTATAATTAAAACTCTTAGTCACTCCTATTAATGATTTGTTCAAACGTATTTTCCTTGAATTAATGCATCTCCAATCTAATTCTCCTTAAATTGTCCTAATTTTACCCTACTGTATGATTAAATCAGATTAATTTGTAAATTAGGGATGATCTTTTAGAGGTTTAGAATTAAAGACGAATCAATTCAAGTATATCTGTATCTACACTTTTCTAGTAAAGTCTAGACGCCTTTCAATGGACTTAACAAAAAAAGTATTCCTTGTTTCCGATGACAATTTTCTATTATTAAATAGTTAGAAGTTTCCAATTTTTCCATCCTTTTTTTCGTGCTTATTAGTTTACCATTCACCACCGAAACTATTAGTATCCTAAAGCTGCTATCTCATTCTTAATATTGTAATTTCTGTCCATGTTCTAACTAGTGAAAAACAATTTGGATGTAACAGGAGCCGAGCTCATCTTCCACAAATTAACTCTTATTCTCCTACTTTAACTGCCATTCCAATTCTTATCTATACCATTTAATATTTTCAAACCATTCTCCAATAAATTCAAAGTCAATCTTGACAAAGGATAAACTGGAAGGGAAACTCTTT